ATGTCCCCCTCGAAATCCTACAACTTTTGTCTGAAACATTTTTTCCTAGTGTGCTTATTTTTCGAGATATTTGAAAGTTTCAGGTTAAAAAAATCACCCTGTATAATAATAAAGTCGAAAAAAGTTATAATTCAATAATTTATGATAAGAAAAATGATGTAAAAACAAAATTTTACAAAATTACTTTCAGGTATTAGTAAAATTTAAAGATCCAAATTATTAGAACAGAAAAATTTCAAATTATTAATTGTTAAAATACTTAATAAAAGCGAATCATATTTACGATTGTAATTAAAAAGCAGCACATTAAACTAGTATAAAAATTAATAACTTGATATAACAATGAAAAAAAGTTATAATAAATTAAAGTACTTTTTTGTAAATCATTTTATAAATAAAATTTATTTTGAAATCAAACAGAAGAAATAGACACATAGTCGAGTCTTACCTATGTGAACTTCTCAATACACGTTGATGATGTAATCTTTCTTCTCCATGCACAGTCCCACTAAAGTCTTTCTTGTCTTCTCCTTTTGTACTGACACTACCTTCCGTTGGACTAGTTGTACCACTAGTTGATTGACTTTGATCTTTCTCGATCGAATCGTTGCTATTTGAACTAGCGACTACATAAGGCAACTGATGACTTCTATTTGCAACATTTTTACCATTCCTATTGCCTTGCTCTTGTTCCGATGCCGTACTCTGCGGAATAACTATCTTTAAAGGCGGTACTTTGGGGGCAGAATTAGAATCCAAACATTTCGATCGATCTTCCTCGCTGTCAGATTCGGGTGGCGCCGGGGTTCCGTTCTTCGCATTCGTCGAACTAGAAGTATTTGAAGGTTTCGGGCTACTGGCCATTGAAGAAGCACTGGGACTCTTTCTGTCCGCATTAGAGCTCGTATTTTGACTTCCTTTACCAGATGCCGTTCCAGATCCTTGCTTACTAGATTTAATACACTATAAACAAATAAAATATTGTAAGCAAAATACGCACCGACATAGAAAAATGTTATGCAGTCATGTAATAACGTTCTTACCTTTTCTCCACTACTGGTAGCATTTCTACCAGTACTCTGCCTTCCTGTCGGGTTACTTTTTGTGTTATCTTTCACGCCTTCAGAATCCTTGCGCTTTTTCCGCCGATTCTCTTCGTCTTGCTCCTCCGAATTTTCGCCTTCAAAGATACGTTTCGCTGATGGCGAAGACGTTGAGACCTCGTCGGTGGAAGTCAATGATGCCATCGTTGCTTCACTGACAGATGTCGACGAGTTACTGATAGTAGATGGATTATTTCCACCAGTCTGGCTACTTTGACCATTTGAGGATTTGCTGCCAACATCTTTCTCTTTGTCCGGATTAGGATTTGGAGACGAGCTCGCACCTCTCACTGGAGTCGGCTCTTTCGAGCTTTTAAATTCGTATACGTCACCACCGTCAGCAGACGACGACGCAGTGCCAGTGCCTGAAGCGGTGTTCGAGTTTACCAACACGTTGACAGAAACCTTTGATGAAGTCTCCATTGAGCCTTGACCCTATATTCGATATTTATTAACAAAATTTATATCGAAAACGGACAATATGGAACATGATGTACGCGGTTAAGAAAGAGCATGTTAAATTAGAGGCAAAATTTGTGAATTTATTTCAGGTAAAGATATAAATGAATACAATGCTCCGTTTAGGTGTTATTTATTACTATATTTAAGATATGGAAAATCAATTTGTAATATAATATTTATTAAAAATATAGAAAATATAGAATTTTTTGTTATTCAAGTCAGCTTAAAAATTAACAAATTTACAAATCTCTACTTTTTTTAATGCTAAAGTTTTTGATTAATATACTTCCAATTATAATAAAAATATTGTTGCTATAAAGCTACTATAAGTGTCTTATAAAACATAAAATATGTACAAGATAAGTCAGAATAACTATCTAACTCGAATTTACACATAGTTGCAGATGATAGAAGAAAAAAAATTAAGAAACATAGCAGATATTTTAAAGTTATTAATTTTTCATTGCAGTTTTATTAAATTGTAATATCAGTGTAAATACATTTTTTGCATCGTATGTTTAATCAATTAATTTTTTAGCATGCCATTACTTATGTCATGCTATAATAATTTATTTCTGATTTGTTATGACGCTCTTTACAAAGAGGCCTAAAGTGCCATTACAAATATTTATCTCTTAAATGAGTCACGTTTATTTGTTAAATAATTGTTTAAAAATTTTGTATTGTTTTAGTTATTGATTGATACTGATCACCATATATAATATAATATATAATATATATCATTAAAAAAAAATAATTATAAAAATAGTGCTTTTTCCTAGCAGTAAATTCTGATAATTTACTAGTTTTTATGGATAAAAATTTCTTGATAAGAACAAAAACCTTGTGCTAGAAGGAGAAATACATTTCAAACATTTGTTTACATAAATTGTTTCTATTTCCAGTAACCATTGAAATTTATCTTAATATTTCCTATAATAATACAAAAAAGGTAAAATTTTTTTTTTAATATTGACCTTAAATATTTTACAAACAAAAAATATTCTTATTTATCGTAAGTTATTGCTTGCATAAAAATAGATAAAAATTTTTATCTATAACTTTTTCTCAGACCATCATAGAGCTATCATGCTACATTATGATTTAAAATGAAGCAAATACTATGTATACTCTTCTCTTTTCTATAAAATATTATCAATATTTTCTTTTATTTCTCAATCTAAAATTTTAAAAAATTTTAATCTTTTTTTCTTTTTTCTCCTTTTTTTCATCGAGTATTTTAGTCTCTTCTATCTATATTTCTTTATATTGTACTATCTATTATATCTGGATTCTGCTCCTCAATTATCTATCTATATCTATCTATTCTCTGATAAGTTTTTCTTCTTCCATCTTTTTTTCTTTATTATATTTTATCTTTATTCATAAATTTTTTTATTCTATATTTCTCATATTTCAATCTATTCCAATTAATATTTTTACATGTCTCATTTTCAAGAACAATATTAAAGTAAACAGTTTTGTTTTTAACTTCAAACAGCAGTAATTCGAAAACTGTACGTTTATTTTTACTTTACGTTTATTATGATTTTTTTATCAAAATGTAAAAAATTAATAAAATAATATTGAGAGCGCCTTTTGCAGTCATGGCTGGATCTCAGTGCCTAACGAATTCTATATGAATTTCTTAACTCGATGTTCAGCTGTTTAAACTGCGCGCCGAATAAATTTTCGGACTTACAACGCATTTTTAGCTGAGGCTAAAAATAGAGATATTATATTGATTTTCAATTCTTAATAAATCAATGCTTATAAGCATCGATCTTAAAATAATAAAAAGAACTTATTGCGAAAAATATTACGTAAGCCAGGGTTTGAATTTGGGATCTTCCGACTTTCCGGAGCAGGCGTCTTAACCAGCTCGACCACCGAGACATATGATATTTATTGCAATAACCGGTATATATATACATATATATATATATA